ATCTATCTGGATTTATATTTGAGTTTGTCTTGTGTTTTATCCTCCGGGGCAGTAGGTGGCAGTAACGCGCCCATCAGCTGACTGTCTAATATACTGGAAGAAGGATTAACAAAATGTCGAGTTCCACTGTATAATGCTGAACAGTGCAAACAATCCAAACAGCATCATAGACAGAGAACGAAGAGGATGAGCTCTTCTGAGCCGACACAACTAATCTGCGTTCTGTTCTTTATCGGTGGTGTTGTTGCTAAGGTAACGAGGCAGTGTCCGGAGCATCTGGAGCAGATCACACAGCTCCACGTGTACAGTCGTCATATTCGCTTCACCGCTAAATCCTGTTTATTTCAGTCAGGTGCTTCTCTGCCAGTAAACTCTGGAGCTGAGTCCAGCCTATTCAGTGGAAAAAAAGCAAGGACCAGTTTTGGTCGATGACGTTTTGTCCTGGAACCATAGACACTGTGTGGAACCTCTGTGTGGAACATGTCAGACAGTTGTGAGCAGATCAAATTACAGGTGCAACCTTCCCTGAGCCCTCATCACTCATGGCACCATCTGTTTGCCTGAATAGCTCATCTGAACCTGTTGATTTACCAAATCACCAAGTGGTCCTGACAAGCCCTGAAAATGTGGCTGGAATCATTTCCATTGATCTTTTGTGGAGGGGTGTGTAAGATCTGTCATTACATGACGTTTTTCTATGTCATTGGTCACACATTCTTCACACCTTCCACAGGTACAAATCATTTTGACTGTCAACAACTGTTATCTGGGACCTGAAACTCAGAGAACTGTAAACACATCGAGGCTTCTTTAAAGTTTCTGTATGTTGGATGATTAATTCAATTTTATTTGTATTTCACCAAATCACAACATTTATTATATCAAGGTATTTCCATAGTAAGTTTGAGAACATACAAAGTTTTAGAGAAACAATTACATCTTAGCTGTATGTAATTATTACACAGTTGTTATGCTCATCACAAGCACTTTATGTCTTCATTTCTATCGTTTGCTGCATGTGTTGGAATTAAAATCAAAATATAAATAGTTTTTTGTTTCTGTCACTGATCATGAAGCTTTCATTCAACCGAGAGAAATAGGGTGAAGAAGCAGATTTCAACAAGAGAAAGGAAGAAAAGAGGTTACTGCGTTTCACTGCAGTGCGTGACTGTATTCAGTGTCATGTAATTTCATCCAGAGAGGTTCCTCCCTCTCTTTCTGTTTTAAATACTGTGAAGCTTTTCAGAAATATTTAGAAAAAAACGTTTCACAGGAAGTATGTAAGTGCACTTCAGGTTTATTTGAAACATTTACACGTCAGGCATTATCCGGTCGTATCCACAGTAATCCACAGTAAAATCACATGTGAAAGTCTGTTTAGACTCAGTCCAATATTATCTGTGTTTTTTCTTTTTACATTAATAGAAATCTATGTACATGTTGAAATGGCTTTTACTTGTAAGGGCAGAGAAAGACTTGCAATGGTGATAAATCATTCATTAGATCTTTCTGATTAGATCATAGATTTAATTATGATTTATTATCACTTTCCCATGTGCTGCCTTTTATAAAAATATATATCTGCTACTCAGAGGTATAGTTGTAAGATTTGAGAGGAACTCTCAGTCACTATCGTCAAAAAAATCAAATACATGGATGCATTTGTTAAATATCAATTGCCCACCTTTATAACAATTAATGCAGGTGTCCTCAGTCTGTCCTCAAAGGCAATAAATTAAAGCATTTAGCCTTTATATTTTTAAACTATTCACAACAAAACCAATATATCAGAGATTGTGTCTTTCCAACTTAAGAATGTAAGTACCAATGAAACATTCTCAATTTCTCTGTTCTCATGCTTCACTTTGTGTCAAAGGCAGAAACAGATCACAGCAAATACACATCAGCTGTGACCGACACAGTAAGCAAATTCTTTTCTTTTCAGGAGACAGTTACAGAAAGTAGCTGTCAGGCACCAGTTTGTGCTGATATTTAAAGTGTGTTGTGGCCTCTATCATTGAACATTATGGTTTCTATGTCACAGTGATCTCCTCCAGCAGATCAGCAGGGAAGTAGCCCAGCTTGCGTCCAGTGCTGACCTTCAGGTAGCCGCCTTTCTCATCTCCTTTCTTCACCACAATCTGAAACACAGAGATGATCGTCGTCAGGACGAACTTCCACATGCTCTCAAAGGCTTCTGCACATCTATGCACATTATGGCACTCAGTTGAGCACATATCTCTACCAAGACCCAACAGTCTCCTTAAATTCAATCATGCTGCGACAAATTTCACAAACTCATAACGTCAGTCCCCTAAATGTACCTGACTTTTTTCATCAAGAATAATGAATGACTTCCTGGGAATTGTAACATGAGAAATAGTTTAAAAAACACCCCCTATCTCAAAAGTCACAAAGGGGTGAAAACACAACCTCCATGGCAGAGGTAATTAACAATAGGCCTATAGAAGGGTGGAGGTTGATGTAATGATTTGACTGTGGATTTTTTTTAAGTCTTATCAGCTATTTTGTGTGATCTCTGAAGAAGATTAAACAATATTGGAAGATATATGGTATATTTTTAGCCTAGAAAGCAATAAATGCACCAACATATGAGAATCAAGTTCCAGTGTGTGATCAGAAAATTGTTACATTCTGCTCAGTAAACACTTGCACACATTAGTTACCTGATCTTTCTTCAGTGTGATCTGTCCCATCTCTCTGTTCCCTACAAAGGAGCGAGTCACCTTGAAAACTCTCTCCGACGAACGCACTTTTATGAGGTAGTTGGTGGGGAAGTAGCCCGACTTATCTCCCATCTTTCCCTGAAAACACAGCGGACAAGTAAAAACTTTAAAAAACAAGAGAAAGACAGAACTGAAGCAGCAAAGATTCAGATTAAAGCTTAAGATAATCAGGAAGTTTAACTCACTCTCCACCACTCTTCATTAGAGTCATCCAGGACTGTGATCCGATCACCGGGGCTAACACACAACCACAATTTAAACAAAACACTTTTAAAAGTCTTCCTTACAAAAAAGGATTTTATTGAACAAAAAAAAGAAGAAATTCTTTTTAGTCAAAATAGTTACTGCATTGTTTGTCTTTCAAACTTACTGGAAGTCGAGGTCGTCTTTCTCAATGGCCTTGAAGCGGTAGAGTGCCAGGTAATAGTGGGAGTGGGAGAATGTACCTTTACTCTGTTGATGACACAGAACTAGAATTACCACCCTGTTGTACGTCTCCATCAACCAGTGCAGTTTCAGTCTAAATACATTATTTCTCCAGATACATATGAGGTCTTCATGACCTTTGACCCCTGACATCTATTCAGTTCATCATTGAGTCCAAATGAGATCTGGTCAAAACTTGGAGGAATTCCCTAGTGGTAGACTTAGAGCTACATTCAAGAGACCAATATTATGTTTTGTGAAGCCACCATGACCTTGACCTTTGACCCTTTACCACACAACTCTAATCAGTTTATCCTTGATGCTCCAAGCCACTGGCTGTTGCATGGGCATAAAAAGGTGCATGTAGAAATGTTGAAGCTGGTTTGTGTCTCACCTTTTCATCAGCTTTGTCTCCTCCTTTCTCCTTCTTATCATCAGGCTTCCCTGTGTGCACATCAAAGTCAACAACATAGGCCTCACTGTTTTATGTCGAAGTGCTTCAACACAGCAAGTTAGAACCTGAGAACCTGTTTTGCATTTTGTATTATATAGAATCCTTGTGAAATTTATAACTTTATAATAGTTGTTCTGCATTTTTACATCACAGCACAGTTTCTGTATTGTTTATTTTGTTATTTTATCCCATGTTAAATATAGGGCCATGCACACATGCTATTCATTTTGAAAAGTTATTAGAACAAACAACACAGAAAACATGTAACCATCCAACTCTATTGTTTCTTTGTACCTTCTCCCTCCTCGTTCTCTTTGGGCTGTTGGTTCTCTTCTTCCTCTTCCTCCATCATCATCATCATCTTGAGGACAAAACAATGATAAAATGTGCATACATATTTCATTCAGTTTCATTATTTATTAACACACAAATTCAAACCTTTTCAGGATGTTGTATTTCTTTGGATATGTTGTGAATGTGAATTCATTCCCAACATAGTGTACATGATCTGATTGAAACTATAATGCGCACTCACATTTTTCTTGTCGTTTTCATTCTTTTTGCGCTCCTTATTTGCCATGATGACACCGACCCGCAGGGTGTCAAAGACAGGGTCATTCCTGTTCGAGTTGTCTGGTTAAAGACAGAGTAGTTAGAGAGAATATAAGCGGAGTGGATAATTCAGTTTGATATTTTTCGTGAATAAGCTAAAGTCTTTCAGAAACAATAATTTAATTGCATAATATGATATATAAGGGCCATGGCCTGAGTTTTATGTGATGAGTCGAAGAAATGTTTGACCAGATATTTTAATATTTTGGGTTTGTTGTTGCAATTCTAAAAAAGCTGTGTTCATTTTTAGAATTTAGGAAAAACAATCTTTTCTAAAGCTTGTGTGCGTGGCATATTAATTATATTATAATTTTTAAGCAAGTTAATTTAATCCTTTCATTTAATCTGGAAACTTAAAAGTAGAAAAATATGGAGATAAACTGGACATTGGTATTTAACTGATTGAATTAATTATTCAGCTGTTTTCAAAAAAAAAATCAACTTGAAGGTCAAATGTTTGTTATTGTAGAATTTTAACTTTTTCCATATCTCTCCACAGATTGTTAGAAAAAAAATAAGGACATGACATTAATGACGTGGTGACTCAGAGGGCTTACTTGGATCTGGTTGGTCGCTGCTGTACAGGGGGGAGCTGTAGGCCCTTCTGAAGCCAGGCGGCTATGGGAACAAAAAGAGAACATTGTGTTTGAATGGGTCCAATCAGCTTTGGTCACAAATATCTGTCTCAGCACAGACATAGCAGTGGGAATATATGTGCGTTTAACAGCCTACTGTACTGTAGACATTTCTAACAGAAGCAACAGGACTCACAATTTTGCCAAAGCATCTCTGGAACTCGACATATGACTGACATGAATGATGGATGTTGGTCTTGCAGTTTTTACACCTCAGAGCAAACTTGTTGTTCACTGAAAGATAAGCAACGGAACATTTTATGCGCTGGTCAGAAATCAAGACTCAAGCATTAAACACAAAACATTTCTATAGAAAAATCGAATATTATTTTGTTCATGTTTGTACTATCTCGACATAACATCCAGTACGTACAGACTATCATTCGAGCACAGACGTCACAGAACTTGGGTTTCTTGCAGTAGTGGTCCTTGAACTTGTGCGGTTTGTCGTTGACTCTGAGAACTGGTGGAGGAGGTTCTGGTTCCTTCTCCTCCACCTCCACCTCCTCCTCATATATGAAATAGACCTGGAGATAAAGGACGTATGTTAGACAGTCATTAAAGACACAAAGGCACTCAGGGGAGCACAAAGGTCCAATAATCCCTGCATGAAACCACATTTAAAATCCCTAGAATCTGATTTTTCTATTTGATTCTAATAAATAATGAAACTCAGCCTTCATGTGAGTAATCTACTTCTATGAGTCCTATGGAAAAGAAAGTGATTTTGAAATGTTGAAATATAATTTGCATAATTTGCCTTCCTTCCCTCTGTATTATTGTCAAAAGTAAACATTTGTGTGGAATAATTTTGGTCTGCTGTTTTGTCCACTTGTCATCATTTTAACCTGACATGTAAGAACACAATGAAGTTCAGCATCATGTGCAGTTTAGTTCTGTAAAATCTTATTGTGTTAACATGTGTTAAGTCCTGTAACATGTGTTAAGTTTTGGTCCAACAGAAATAATATGCAGGTGAATTCCTACAGAGTGAGGATTGTCACTGGATGGTGCTTTTATTTGATGCAACCATAACTGCAGAATTTTGAATTTTGTGTGTTCATCACATTTATGATCAAACCTGCAGGTCTCGTCCTCTGCAGATAAGCCTGCAGCTTCACGTTATCCCAGGAATAAAAGACCCTCAAGTCAGAGCTCATATTTTTCCAATAGACACTGCACTGCGTTCCTGTCCCAGCTGGTGGCTATTTTAAACCGCTCGGGAATGGCACCGTTAACATTGGGGGGTGGCTGGGATTTGACATGGTCTTGTCACTCACAGTTTCTCCGTCCTCCTTCACTACATTGTCAGGAGCTGGAGGGTTGTCATGGATATCCAATGAGTTCTTGTCATCCTCCCTGACACACAGAAACACAAAGAAAATAAAACAGAGTGACAGGGATGATCAGATCATGCAGATAGTTAAGATACTAAAGTTTGAGTTAACTTAAACAGGAGACGTGAACATAAAAACCGGATGTGTTGAGGTTTTCAGGATTTAATTCAGTGACCTGATGTAGCTGACATGATTTGTGTCAGCATCAAATTGCCATTCCACCTTAAAATAGTCGTTGATCATTTATTTTGGGAGACTCCTGTGGTTCATTTTCTCAAAAGAGTCTGGGCTGTTGCAACATTTAGCTCAATAATAATTTAAAAGAGTCATGTGGGGAGGGCGGGGAGGTGCAGGCAGGCGAAGTGGGGCAAGCAATATATGTGTATTTTCGAGGTATACTCACTGGTCCATGGTGTCAGGTGGACAATGTCAGCACTCCCTCTCCTATAAAGATATTTGCATTTTAATTAACGTCTTATTTTATTTCTCTTTATTGTGTCTTTTCCCATATCAAGTGATATTGATCTGGACAAAAGCCACAAGCCTACACACTTTTTATCAAAAACAAATGAAAGAAACATATGCAGCAAATTAGGTGATATTTAGCATTTACTGTATAAATGTTGTTGGCCTTTACGTGACTTTCTGTCGCATATACTTTTGTCATCATTTTTATGTTACACAACAGAATATTATATTATTTTTAATTATGTAAACTAGCTTAGCACAATATTTTTTGAGACACACAGTGACACAAATACATGTGAAGACAGATATCAGTATGTATTCTTGTGTCTATATATGCCTTCTTAACAAATAGGTTACATGATGCCAGGCACCTATTGCTAACATGCACACACACACACACACACACACACACACACACACACACACACACACACTGTTTGAATGCACTTCACAACTTGACCCCAACTATTCAGGGATGTGAAATTGAATCTAATCACAGCTAAATCTGGTGCCTCCGCCAGTAAAGAAAACAATGGAAACATTTATTGCATTAAAAAAACTGTCATTGTGATAAAAAAAACATTAGTATATTATTATTAGTAATTACTAATTCAAAGCATCTCTCTTAATTTGATTGAAATAAACTGACTATAACACTTTTTTCATTCAAGCACATTCTGCATTCTTCAAACTGATATATCTGTTGGGGAAAAACACACAAACCTGTTAAATAAGTCCTTTACCTGCTGACGTTGACTGGAGCTCTGTAGATCTGAGTCGGACAAACCAACTGCTCAACCTGTCTCCTTGCCGTAAGCCCCTTGGGATTCTGTGCAAACACTTGGACAGGCTGGACCTCTGCCCTTGTTCTCTCCAGGTGATTCCCAAAGTATGATTCCCGGCTCAAGATCTGTGTAATTGTGAGGTTATCTATAATTTTGTATGTGTGTGTGTGTGTCTTTGTGATAGGCTGAGCACTCATGTGTCAAACTGACTGCTTGCGACAGCTGGGGGCCTCGGACTGAGCGCCGATGACGAGGGGAAATCAGATACTTTGTCCCCCCTGTCTTCATTACACACACATATACTCACCTCTCTCCCCTTGTCCCACTTGTTTAGGGGGGACAGAAACACACACAGACACACACAGACACACTAAGACATTTACTTCACTGAATGCCTTTGTCCTTTTATCCCCTGGGGAGCAAGTTGGATGCACAAACTTTTATCTGAAAAAGTGTCATATTAAATGTGTTAAGATCAATTATTGTGGTTACGTTGCACTGTCAGCAAAACAGAGCTACTCATGACGATGCTGTTATTTACCAGTTTTTACACAGTCAGAAAATATCTTAACATTTGATAAAGGTAAATAAAATATAAGGGGGAGGTTTTATTTTCTTTCGGAGGTTAGTACTGTGTAGGAGAGATTTTTACTCATGACCCCTTTGTTTCTGCAACCCTGGCAGCTGCCCTGTTGGTGGATTGTGCAACATTATACTGTGCTCTTACATCAGACCATGGCCTGTTGTATTTACACCTAAACCACTTCATACAGAGGTGAGTGCTGTTGTCAGTGTTAACACATATTGAATAAAACCTTTATACAAGCTGTCATTTTCACATTTTAGGCTGTAGCTTGTTGTGCCGTAAAATTGTATAGCATTACGTTGACAGGTGTTTCTATTATTTTGTCCACCCCATTTAAATCTATCTCTCAGAGAGCAGGCTAAATAAAAAACAAACACCTCTCCTTAGTACACTTCAATAGCATCACAAACTGCAGCCTCCAAAATGATCATAAAGTTGAATCATCACCTCTCTAAAATAATTTCAACTGAATGGCGCTGTGGTACAAAACATACCTGCGTCAAGGCCCAATAGTCCCCTTACATTCAATCAAACGGCACATATATGTATATATACATTTATTTCAGTATCTCATTAAAATGATTAAAAGCCCATATACAGTTTACATCGTCATGCAATCATCCTATATGGCACTGCACTTTACTCAAGTACAGTATGTAGCTCTACCTATACAATTATAACTGTAGAGACAGGCGTGTACATATTCGCTGTATTTTATTTCATTGCATTCTTATTATATTTCATTGCCTATGTCTATTCGGTTTTATACTTTCACGTGTTCTCTCGTCTCCCTCACTTTTAACGATCTGCTGTTGTAACAGCATCCTATCAGATCTTATTAGGTTTCACATGGAAGAAGCAGGGAGTAAAAGGACAGTTCATGTGATTTGGATCTTTACATTACACTTAAAATAACATATAAATGCATATATGTGTTAGACTTTATACCAGCATCCTATGTGTTTTTAAGGCTCATTTCAGTGAAGACAGTTATGCAACTGTGTGAGCTGTTATTGTGTCATTATCATGTCACACACACACACACACACACACACACACACACACACACNCACACACACACACACACACACACACACACACACACACACACACACACACACACACACACACACACACACACACACACACACACACACACAGCTCCTCCATTAGCCTGCTCCTGTCTGGAGCACTACAAAGGTCCCGGTGCATGTCGGGTACAATACTCCCTGGTCACCCAGTGCGCATGCGCAACTTAAAAAACTCCATTATTTTTTTTTCTCGGAATCTGTAAGAAAAAAAACAGAGGGTAGCTGTGGATCTGGATTACATGGGTCGTTATTATGGTTCTCGGGACACATCGGACTGTAAGACGCTTTAGGAGAGCTGGGAGCCAGGTGACGGCCGGGTAGCGGAGCAGCAGCAGCGGGAGCGGAGCGGGACATCCTCCAGTCTGGTCGGGACTCTCCACCATCAAGTAAATTTCAGGCAGTTAGCCGTGTTAGCCTAGCCGCTGGGGCTAGCAGCGACATCACAGGCGCAGCAAAAAGAAGCGTTATTGCCCTTTGTTTTTAAACCCGGCCGGCGGACGTCGCGCACACGCCGAGGGCTGCTTCTGCTCGCCCGAGTGTGTGATTTGAACGACAGATTTGTTTATTTCACGGAGATTTATTTTTAAGTATCTGTCGTTTTCAAAACACTCCGCGACTAGTCCGTTAGCTAACCAGCTAACTCTTGATTCTCCCGCGACCCAGAAAAGCCAGGACTCCAAAACTTCGCCAGCAGGCAGAGAGAGAGGCTCACAGGTCCCGCTAACACTGGCGCTAGCTAACGGCTGTCAGTCAGTCAGCAAGTGAGGGAGTGAGGCCACGCATGCATTTTTCTGTGCAGCTGTATTGTGCTTTGCTCGGTTCTGGTCCCCGCAGCTAACACGCAAGAGTTTCGCATCGGAGTGTTTTGTGCCTGACAGCTGTCACGACGAACGCACTATAAAGTGGTGTAGCCTGCTAGCTGCTACCTTAGCTGCTAGCTTTGCCTCGTAGTCGGGCAGGAATTGTTGTTGCTGAAAGCAGATAGCTTCACCTGAGTTCTGCACCTTAAAGATTTTATTTCAAGCTGCGTCCATGTTGCTAGCACGTTAGCTTCTTGGGAGGGCAGCTGCTTTATATTGTAGCTAAAGGTCCAGTAAACTACGGGCCTATCCAAACACACCCTCCCACATGAGAGCAGCCGCAGCTTGTCCTGAACTTGTTTTCTTTTATAACACAGTGATCTCTCTGATGTGAGCACGCTGCTGCTGCTATGACATCATTTGCAGGAAACAGTTTCGAGCGCGAGTTATTTACCCTGCTTCACCCTGACAGATTACATAACCCACCTCCACATTTCTTCTGCAGGCGCTTCATCTTCACCCGAGCCCCTACTCTGATGTGAGCTGAACAAATACATCTGCAGGAGTCATCCTCTACTGCGAGGGGCTGCCTCACAGCCGGGGGAAAGTCCAGGCATCGAGTCAGGTTTTACTGGCAGTCTGTGCGCTTCTAACCCACCAGCATGTACATTGGACAGTGGATACCCTAGCCAAAACAGATCCTGGCTTCCCAAAGATGACAAGGTATGTAAAAAGTGCATTGGTTGTGTTTTTTTTTTTTTTTAACCATAATTGACCTTAAACTAAAATCTTGTTTTCTTTTGCCATGGCCACACCCAGTGAGAGATAAGTTTAATCATCCGAATATATTTAGTTTATGCATGTTTCATGATTCTGTAAAATCAACACTGATCTTATCATAGTGGCATGGATTCATTTTCTAATATTTGACATTTACTTTTGATGTTGTGTAAAAAGATAGATGTGGCATGCAGGTTGTTTTAATCAGTGTTGATATTCCTTAGACTTCACTCCAGACATTCACATTCTTCCATTTTAAGCATGTATTTGGGCTCTGAAAATAAACCTGCCTATTTTAAAACTCTGAAGAAACCTTGGATGCTATATGCACTAGTAATGGGTCATTCCACAATGTCATTGACTGACTCTATGAGACATCTTTAGCCCATAACTTAAAAAGATGAACACATTTTAGACAATGACATTGACTTTGAAAATGCAAAACAAGGATTTGTTCTCAACATTTGTAAAGCCTCTTTTCCACTGGTCTATAAATCTGCTAACACCCACTAACATCTGGCTATTGTCTACAATGGGACTGGATCCATCAGAATTCAGGCCCGGGTCAAATGTAACTGCAGAACACACAACATCAACAGTGATGGAAACATGATACCTGGGTCAACACGCAAATTTCTTCTTCATTTTGGCAATCTAGAAACTGACTCAATATTTTTCTGCTCACTGTAATTATGTGCATTAAAATGCTGGGCGTTGTCGCTTAAATAGCCATGAACTTTTTGTACGCATTGTTTGTTTTACATGTTGGGAACAATGCAAAACTACAATTATATGTCTTTGCAAGACGTATCACTGGCATGACAGCAAGATGAGCGAGCTTCTCATTTTTCGGTGCTTTTGTGACGTCGAACATGACTCATCAAGGGAAAATAAACAGAAAGGCAAACTCCTTTACTGGCAAGGAGAAAGGAGTAATAATTATTTTTTTAGTTTCTTGATGTGCATTTGAAGAACCTGTGTACCTGCTAATTTGGACGTAAAAGGGGTATAACATATCCAAACTATCCATCCGCCATCAATACTGCTAATCTTATTTGGGGGGTGGTTTGTCTCTTAAAGTACTTAACCTTCATTTTACGGCATTGAGTTGGAATGATCTGTTAACATTAGCTTCTTTTCCAAGGTGCTGGCACGCTGCAGCTACGAAATGATGGGAGGCAGTGAGACTGTCAGTGGGGACAAGGATGGTGTCCACGCCACTGCAATACACGTCCCCATCGGCTGGCAGAGGAGAGTGGAGGGCTGGCAGGTGATATACGTCAGGTGTGTTGGCTCAGTTGAAAGTGTCTGCAGGCTCACTGCAGATGTTTGTACATATAGAAGATTTTCATGTGATGGCTTATTAATATATAGTTCTACAAATGTGTTTATGTATAAGCTATATTATTTTATTGCAAAATGACTTTGCTGTGTTTGCGGAAAAATAATACAGGCTTTTGTGGGGTTTTTTCAAAAATACTGCATTAAGATTCAGTGTTTTCCAATTATTTCTATTAAAGATTTCTCTTTCCCCTGTTTTCCTCGAACCAGCTCAGGGCAGAAGAGTTAATTTTGATGGAAATGCCCATATGTAAAATACAATTTGACATTTCAAATCTGAAATTGTGTACGACTACTGACTATCAGAATAAAGGCATTTTCAAACTGGTCAAATTGAAATAGGCCTGACTGCTGAATAAACATGAATGAGCTTGATCTAATGTAACAGACAATTTTTTATACATAAACTATAACCTAGATTTGTGACTAGTTAAATTATTAATGTTAACGAGCAAGCAAGTACCCACAATGTAATAATCTTCAAATCACCCACAAAAAGGGATGACAAGGTGACATAGAGCTGAGATCACATTCACGTACGTGTACTTGCACAAAAGTTTGACCAATTTGGTGGTCAAAGGTCAAGGTCTCTGTGAATTCACAAAAACTTTATTTATATTGCTTATTATGATAAAACACACAACACCTTTTATTAATCTGGACAGACATGGATATGAATGGCAAGTTAATTGGTTAGAAATGGCATATAACCACAATTGTGCTTGAGTTTAAAAATAATATTCACATTTAATAAATGCGGATGGCTTCAAATATTTTAATGTGCAGATTTGGGTGTGTGCTCAGGTCATCTACTTAAAATATTGCTGCGCTTTGAGCATGTCTGTTTTCATATACTTTTATGTTTACTTTGACTAATTATTGCTGCCTTCTTCATGTAGTCCCAGTGGCACTGCCTTGTCCTCTCTGGACGAGGTCAAGACCTATCTGTTGACTGATGGCACCTGCAAATGTGGTCTAGAGTGTCCACTCATCATCCATAAGGTAAGCTTGCAGTCTAAAAATTATAAAGTTGTGTGTGTGTGATAATGTGGGAGCCACGGTTGCTCTTTGAATTCAGTTTAAAGCTTTTCTACTGTATCCACAAATAATAGAATAGCATCAGTGTGCACTTAGTCATTAAATATTTAAATAATGAGTGATTAACTTTTAACCTCTTCAAAATCAACTGACCAGTATGTAATAAACATCAGGCAGAGGTCTCTCTGAATTCCCCCTAATGCTCTTTTTATCTGGTATCCTGCAGGTTTTCAACTTCACTGTGGGAGTGAAGGTAAAACAGCACAGCCAGCCTTTAGGCAAAACAGAGCAGGACATGACCAAACTGTGTAACCACCGCAGGAAAGTGGTAGCCATGGCTGCTCTGTGTCGCAGTATGCAGGCCTCCCAGCTGCCTTTCACCAACCTTCATCATGCAGGTAAATCTTGAAACATTGAGACATACTTCAGATGAGACACGCTACTCCTGAACCTGTGTAATATTAAAACATTGTTGAATAAAATAGTAACAAATCAGACATACAGTTTTGTCCTCACTTTGGAATGAATTGAAAAGGGAATTCATGATAATAAAGGAAGCTGGTATTACATACTCTGTAGGTCAGTTAACCATATGCCTTCGAATATATTTCCTCCGCTCTGTCTATCTGTCATTGCTCCTTCTTTTTTAATTCAAAGTGAATAACTCTAAACAAATTGACATCCCTTATCCAAATCAAATCAGTGTGAGCCATAACTCCATCACCTCTCTCAAGTGTTACAGCTGTTAGCCACTCAGAACTGAAACCACTCTTATTCAAATAGCAGTATTGTTAATGTACATCCACTTTCCACTTTGGAAACAGGATTCATTCAGGATTTGTTTGCTCAGATGAGTTGTTGGGAAATTGACAGATACATTTTCATCACAGGCATTTACACGTGGGTTTAAAAGGGTTTGAATTCTTTGATTGAGTGAAAATATTTGGACTAAAAAATGTCACCAATTACTGGAAACTGGTAAAGCAAGTATTTTTGAGTTCAGTGTCTTTGGAGCTCTATGCATGACAGATTTTAACATCACACAGACATCCACCAATATGTATAATTGATGTATGCTGTTAAAAGGTCGTTCTGTGAAGTAGCTGCTGATCCAAGCCTTTTCTATGCAATTCAGGCCTTGAGGTGCCTGCATCTGTGCATATATTGGGCCTAATAAATTCCCCCCATTCACTTTTTCCCTCCTTGGTTAGGTGTCATGTTTTTTTTTAGAGTTGGCATGTTGTTACCAGGTCTACATGATTTTTCTTAGTGTACTCTGGCATCCTCCCACTGTCCAAAGACACTTGAAGGATAAGGTTTAGATAATGAATGCTTTTTGAGACCCCCTCTGTCCACAGACCTTAATTTTTCAAATATTTTATTGGCTGATAAAAGTTAGTGGTTTTGCTTGGTTGTGTTTCTGTAGCATACCTCATTAAAGATGAAACATCGGGATGCTTTTCCCAAACACTCACTCACAGAATATTCATACACAGTAATTACCCCTGAATAATATTTGTAATGGATGAGAAAAGAAAATAACATGACTTTCTTGTGTGTGTCTTAACTTTCAGAGGTGAGCAGTCGAGTGGACAGTCGTGATCCTAATGGAATAGAGCGGGAAGAAGAGGACCGAAGCCTTTACCATCCCAAACTCCATCCAGTCCCTCCTCGACCCCACAACAATTTCCACTCAAATCCCTGTGCCAGCCCTAAATCCTCCCACCAGTTTATTTACCCATATAACGGTTCCTCCACCATCCTCCGCACAGGCACAAACCCTCATCATCCATTAGATACCCTGAGAAGGCTTCACCATCCTCCTTCTCTCCCTGCACCCTCCACCTCTTCCTCCACCTCCACATTCCCATCTTACAGCGCTGCTCAGAGGTCACCCCGCACACCCACACCTCAGAACGTCAGCCAAGGTCAAAGAACACCCAAAACTCCAGAGACTCCTGGTTCTCCTCGACTCGGGTCACTCTCTTCACCTCCTCCTTCCTCCCCTAAGACACTTGGTGGAGGAGGAAGAGGAGGACAGACCAACGCTCATCATCCTCATGGTGTCATCGTTGGAGGCTCCACCCCCTCTCCGTCTCCCTCTCTCTCTCCCTCTATTCATAACATAAACTGTGTTTCTCCTCACCAGCGGACACGACACCCTTCTGCGTCTCCCTCCCCTATCTCTGAGCAGGGCGGAGGAACTACAGCAGCAGAAGGAGGAGGGCAGTTGGGAAGTAACTTGTCTCAGAGGAGGAAATCCACCTCTTCCTCTCCACTCTCCCCTCTCCCTGGTGGCTCCCCAAACCCCAGCCCCCATTTCCCCAAGTACAAGCTGGAAGATATCTTGGAGCAGTTTAAGAACTCAGGCAACAGCAGCACTAATAACCACCACCTCCTAAACCCTAATAACCCCTCCTTACTGACCAACCAAAGCGGTAGCAACCTTCATGCTTGCTCCTCGAAGCCTTCTAAGAGTATCATGAGTCAGACTTCCAGCTCAGGAGCACCAGGTTTTGGGTTAAACTCTGCAGGCCCCTCTAGTTTACCTCTGGGGGCATTTCTGAACCACCAACACAGCCATCAGGGCAAAATGCCACACCCAGCTTCTTTCCCTGCAAGTAACTTGCTCTCTGCAGCTGCCAAGGCTCAGCTGGCAAACCAGATAACCCAGGGCCAGAGCTCAAATGTGGCCAGCAACCCAGTGAGCTTGCCCTCTTCTCTGGACATCTTGAAAGAGGCACAGCAGCAGCAGTCGTCAAAGGTAACTAACAGCACTTTACATAACAGCCACCCTCCCTCCTCCACCGCTTCTAGGTCTCCCCATCCTTCCCTCGCAGCAGCCTCTGCCATCCTCTTTCCTCCATGCCACTCTCTGGCTCAGTCCCTGGCTTCCTCTCTGCCCCACCTGCCTCCCACAGCAGAGCGCAATGCATCGCACAGGAAGAGGCAACGGCGATCTCAGACAGTGCTCAGCATGCTAAGAGACACTCAGCAGCTGGCTAATGGGCCACAGAAGATGCCACCAGTAGAAGCTGCTTCTGCCACAGTTATCAACCTTTCCTCGTCTTCCTCCCCTTCCTCCTTGCACTCCTCCTCCTCTACCTCAACTGTGCAGAACCAGAATGCTGTCATGGATACCCATCATCATCTCCTCCCCGGGCAGATGACCAGGCTCCCTGTTCCTCGACAGACCGCACACCTTCCCAGGCCTCCACGACAAAACGAGCCTCTGGATTTCACTACCAGCCTGACGCCCACACCTCTTGGCTTGGATCCTCCAACCCAGCCTCTGTCTGCTCTGTTGCACCTGCTCAGTGTGCAGAATGCACAGGCCACAACTTCAGCCTCTAACTCTGCTTCTGCTCAGCCAGGATCTATGTCTGTTGAAGGAGTTGGACACACTAATAAACAGAGCCCCAGAAGGTCACCCTCTTCTCCTGCTCCTCATTCTAACATCAGGCACACACAGTCACCCTCCCAAAGTAATGACACTACTTCTCTTTCTGTGATGCCACAGCCGCTCTCTCCTCCTCCCACTTCCTCTCAGTTCAGATCAGCACAGTCTCATTCATACACACAGACAACTATATCAAGTCCCCTACAGAGACATTCTTTTTCTTCAACACTGCTGCCCAACTCAAATGTAGCTTTACCCAACAGCAACAGCCCATCTCACCGTACATGCCCAACTCCCTCTGACAAGCCTCAACCAACTGAGAGTCACATTCCTACAACAGACTCAGTTTCCCAGGCTCCTTTGCAGGAAGCCTCACCAGAGGGCACAGTGGGAATGGAGATAGGTAGTAACAGCACATCAACATCAGTGGACCTGACTCACTCTCAAGGTAGTGTTTCTATGGCAATATCCACCTCCCCAAAGCCTCTCGATCTTAGCAACCATGTCCTGGCACTTCTCGCAGCATCCTCCACCGTTCCACAAGGGGAGGGCAGCTCCTCTGACCGTACCACTGATGTTGAGATGTCTTCCCGAGGAAATCATGCTACAGGTGAGGATATTCTTTATTCTGCACTATATTGCTGCTGAAAATGAAAGATATGTTTTTAGAGCATATAGAAGTAACATGGTTGTTAAAGATTTGCAGCAGACTGAAAATGTGCCTATATGAAGACCCAAAATCTTTAATAAATCTTTATCTTACAACTTTGATAAATACAAGGTTTGTGTTTGGTGATATGGTCTCCACAGTTAAATCCTGTATTAAAAATGGTTGGTTGTTTGAATCCGCCTGGAAGAAGTGATTGATTTATGTCTCTCCTTCTGCAGAGCCAGAGGAGCCTGGATGTGCCGACCCAAAGGTCTCCACAGTAACCAAACCTCCAGCAGCCGTCAGCCCTGGGCCTGCCATCTCCACTCGTCTTGGGGATAATAACAATCCCCCTACCCCTTCAGCCATGGCCGACTCGACCAGCACCTTACCTCTGGCAGAGGCCTTTCCCTTCATGAACCAAGAGCAGCTACTCCAACTGCTGTCATCCACAGGAGGATTACCATCCCTCCTGGACCCTACAGTCCTTGCTTCATTGCCCCTAGGAGGGCTGTGGTTGGGAGGACAACATGCACAGATGCCCCCTGCCAATGCTACACTACAAACACCGGAGCAACAGCAGCTAATGCTACAACAAGAGACACAGCAGCAAAACCAGGATCAACAACAAAAGCAACAGCAATTAAACAATTCTCTGTTTCCCTTGTTGCCCTTGTTGAGTGGTACCCAAGGGGAGTTGCCTCTGAGCCTTTTGGGCTTATTGAACCCCCTCCCACCCCCAGCCTCTACCCCTACCACAGGACAGGAAGCGGATTTTGGGCTAACAGAAAAGCCCAACCTTCAGGCTCTGCTCATGGCCTCATTGTTGCTCGGGCAACAGCAGGCACCATTGATACCTCTGTCTGGGCTGGGTCAGCTGAGCCAGGTCAGTTTGGAAGTTCCTCTTCAGCAGCCACAGCAGATCCCAACCACATTGGAGGGACTCACGCTGGATAAAGTCTCTGGCCTCCTTGATCCATCTACCTTACCGGGCCCGGGGCTCTTGGAGGTTGCCCAGGGCCTTCTGCCCATCCCTCCAGGAGCGGAGGGCATTATCCAAGCCCTGCAGTCTTTGCTCTTCCCTGCCACTCTTCCTCCTCCCCCTGCAGCCTTCCTGCCCCTCAGCCCTGCCTTGCTCACCGCTGCCCTGAGCTCTGCTGAGCTCCACCCGCCTCCCCACACCCAGTTAGCTCCTGCACAGCTATCCCAACATACCCAACCTCAGGTAGGCTCCCCTGTCTCCTATAACTCTTTCCTTGGAGCTCCTAGTTTCCCTTGAATCCACCTGTGAGCTATTTCCCTTTCCCTGCTCCATTTTTTCTGCTGTAGTTGCTTTTCCCTCTAAATGCAGACAATTCCTTCACAGCATAAAAATCTTTCTAGACTTCATTTAAATGAAGTCCCCCTGCTACAGTCTATCTTAATGTATTTGAGTTGTGAATGCACTTACTTCTGGAAACCTGTCCCTGTCTCTATCTTTTTGTTCTGTTTTTTGGGGGGGCCTGAAACTGAAATCTTCTCCTGTTCTCTAATCAACACAGGTATCTACTGATGCTGGTGTTGACACCCTCATACCCCTGTCTCTCCAAGGCAAGGACAACTCCATCCTCCAACAGTTACTTCCCACTTTGCTTAACCCTGCTGTATTAGGTGAGTTGGTGCCCACACTGCGTAACACATAATTCTCAAGTTTAAAGTCAGTGTCTTAGGAATGACTTATAAATTACCCGTTCTGTATAAAAACATAAAACACTGCAGGCCTTTTGTAGTAGTACAATTATATCACTGTATCTATGAAATGCGTCTTCGGTAGGAGATCTCTCTGGCATCACTGGCCTTCACAACATGGTCGGGATTGGGGCAGGTTCCATCCTCCTGCCCTCAGTCCAAACCTCTGCTTTGGGTATGCCTCTGCTGCAGGGTCCTGATGGGGCCATCAACTTGCTCAACAACATACAGGTAGGTAACTGGTGGATTAAATGTACACTGCCTAAACAGGGATTTTATTGCAGATGTATGCTATTAGAATATTCAATGATGCAGTACATTTTTTAACTGATTATTAAGATCAAGATCTGGACAGATGATTCAAACTCACTCTTTAAAACTGAGCAGTTGACAACATAGAGTGGCAGCAGTATGGAATGTCACTTGCACTTTAAAACGCTTGTTGTTGCCAGTGGCAAGTCATATCGGCCTTTCCTATTAACAGTAATTCTGTATGTTTATAATCTGCCCCTCTTTCACAAGACATTAATTAACAAACCAAATCATTAAATAAAATTAAAATTGCTGTGTCCTTCCATTTGTGTCCTTAAAATGTTTTTGGAATGTTTGACAGTCTGAATTAACCTTTTCTTTTTTTTCCTCCAGCTAAACCTTGCATCAGCCTCAGAAGGAGAGAAGCCAGTCTCAATGCAGGAAACACAAAGCCCTGCTCCGCAGGAAGACATTCCAGCCAATCAGGTTGCTCCTGATTTGGTCCCCAGTCCTGTTCCAGCTCCGCCATCAGCTTCTGCCCTTGCCCATGACCCCACGCCACCCCCCCAGAGAGAATCTGAGGGCAGGTCTGTTATTGATCCTTACACCTCTTTCATGGACACAATTTATACCTCTTTCCTTCAAGTCAGTGCTAAAGAGCAGGAAGATGGGGCCCACTTGGGGCCATCTGACCCCACTTCACCCTTCTGTGCCTTACCGCCAGTTTCTTTCCCAGTGGAGCACCATACCCCATCCACCCCTGTCCCAACTCTGCCGCAGGCAAGTGCCCCAGTTTCCCTAAGTCCTCGTAGGGCTTGCTCCCTCCGTAACCCAGACCTTTCCCGACTTAGCTTGGAAGCAGCAGCCCATTCCCCCGCTCAGGGGACGCCCAAACCCAGTGAGGACGGGTCTACGTCACCCTTGCACAGGAAGCCAGTCATAGTAGAGGGACATACCCACCCAGAGCCTCCAATGCCACCCATATACTTGGAGGAGGCTAAGACGGACTGTACTGGGCCTGCTGCAGCTGCGTGCCCTTTCGTGGAGGCAGGTGGGGATAGGCAGGGTCGTCTTCCCCATTCAGGGTACCTCAGTCCCATGGATGGATGCAGTGTGAGGCCCATTGAGGAGACAGCTGGGACATTGCTGCACACTGAACAGGGGAGGGTGAGTGTCACGTTCTTTGGTTTTCTTTCAGCTCAGGCACAATTTAATATCACAAATTGGGACTGAAGCATAATGGATGTTTGTATCAACCTAGGACTGTAAAAATAAATGAATTAGTATTGTAATGAACTTGAGTGGCTGAATTTTAAACATAGTGATGGATGCTTTCACTGCTTTCACTGTTTTTGTAATGGAATTTCTGTTTTCACCTTCTAAGGATCAAGCAGGAACAGCGGGCGGAGCCAGAAGAGGAAGGAAAAGGAAACAAACGTAAGTTGTCTTTTTAATGGTTCATTACAGTGGAATAATCTGGATACATTTATTTTTTAAATCTGAGTCGGTCTCACTGAGCAAACACTGTAATCATTACTTTAGACTGTATTTTAGTTTAGCCAATGATTGATTACAACTGTCTCTTCAATCATCCTGTATTGAGTACTAATGTGTTTCTTACCTTGTTTGTTAGGCTACAAAACGTGTTAGAGGACTTCAGAGACATGGATGCAACAGCACTAGAGGAAACCAAGGCTACAGTAAGAGTGCCTCACAGATCTATCAGTTTAGTTATCAACAGAGCTGGTTTCAGATTATCTTTCACTACTCTCATTGGATTTTTTTCAAATTTTTTAAAATAATAATCCTTTGAGATAATAATTTGAGGTAATATAGGTTAAGATGATCAGCTTTGGAACTTATTTTTATTCTTTCCTGCAAAACAGTACAACTACACCATCTTATGATGCTGTGAAATACGATGGTGCTAGAACCTCTCTCTCTCTGTGTGTGTGTGTGTGTGTGTGTGTGTGTGTGTGTGTG